CATCCCGGGCGCCCTCGGCGGAGCCTTTCCCTGCGCCGCGCCGCCGCCGCCCGGCCCGGTCCCGGCGTGACCCTGCTGCCTTGCAGAGGTGGAAGCGGAGCTGGTTCGTGCTGTACCCGGCCAGCCAGCACGGCGTCGCCCGCCTGGAGTTCTTTGACTGCAAGGAGCCGGCGGCACCGCCCGAGCGGCTGGGCACCAAGCGCCTGGACAAGACGGTGGTGCGGCTGGCTGACTGCACCAGCGTGGCCCCCGTGGCTGAGAGCGGCCCCCGGGCCGGCACGTCTGTCTTCCGCCTGGAGACCAGCGACAGGAGCTACCTCTTCGCGGCCGAGAAGCAGCAGAGCGAGGAGTGGGTGGCGAAGCTATGCGAGATCGCCTTCCCGGTGAGCCCCGGGGCGAGCAGAGGGGCATCCCGGGCACCTCGCCGGGGCCTGGCCACCGCGGCTGCCCCCCGGGGAGAAGGGCAGCTGCAGGCAGCCTGCGCTGGGTGGAGGGGCCGGGCATCAGAGTGTGTGTGGTGGGGATGGGGGTGCGACCCCTCTCTACCCAGCAGGAGGGCCCGGTGGCGCAGGGAGGGAGACCCTAAGGCACACGTGAGTGGTCCCAGGCGGTTGGTCAGAGTGCCTGGACCTGAGACTCCGGTCACCTCTCAATAGCTCCCACTGTGCCAGCAGCCGGGTGAGTTGCAGGACTCCTCAACATGCTGTCAGTAATTCTTGGTTGCAGCTCCAAATTTCAAGTCAGGCTCTTCTCCACTGGCATGGAGCCTGTCCTCGCCCCCTCCAGAGACCTGGTGGGGGCCGGTTGATGGCTGAGGAGCGTTTCCTCTTGGCCCAACCACCGCTGCCTTTCCTGCCACAGTGGCGGAAGCGGAGCACTGAGCGCGTTGCAGTGCCTGGCTCCGGGACCCACCTGGCTCCTGGGTGGCAGCGCTAGCAGCTGCAGGGCCAGTGCACCCCCTTGCCCAGCCCTGGGGCTTGTTCCTGCCTACTGTTGGGAGCACCCCATCAGTGCTGGGCCTGCGGCACAGCCCTCCAGTCCCCCCCCCCCGGTCCTCTGCCTGCGGCCCCATAGCAGCTCTGTAGCCTTCCCTGGAGCTGATGGTCAGCCAGCATGACGGCTCCCTGCGAAGGCGGTTTGGACAGCGGATGGCCCACGAGTACAGTCGTCCACACCGCTCCGCCCCGTGGGTCCCCTGCTCTCCCTCCTAGGAGATGTTTGCACAGCCCTGCGTTGTGCTCTAGCTGACTCCAGGCTTTGAGTGCTGGGCAGGGCTGCCTCATGGGACGGCTGGCTGCACAGCTGGCGATCCCAGATCTTCCCACAAGGACACAGGTGTCTGCCGAGTGTGACTTACCTTAAGCCTTTTTTTGTCCCTGCCTGTGTCTCCCTGCAGTCGGCTGTCAAGCCAAATGTGTCTGTGCAGCAAGTGCCCTGCTGACCAGGCCGAGAGGCACTGGTGTGGTGCTGGAGATTACTCCACCTTCATGCCCGTGTCTGTGTGGCGCAGACAGCATTGCAGCCTTTGTCCTGGAAATGGCCTGTGGGGCTGAGCTAGGGACACAGCACACGCCCTTGGAGTGGTGCGGGGTAGCTGCAAGGCAGGAGAACATCTGCTCAGAGCAGGGCTGTGCTCATACCTTTCACGCGGTAGCTGTCAGTTGCGTGCTTGAGGTCCAGAAGCAAGCTGACGGTTTAGGAACCGGTGAGCAAAAGGCTGCAAGGATGGCATGTATTCTAGAAAGGCTTGGCCGGGAGCAAGAGGCACAGGAGCTGCACGTGGCCTCTCTGCAAAAAGCTGAAGATCCTCAGTTGTGATTTCTGGCCATCCACATGGAGGTCGTGCTTTTGTGTCATGTTGTTTGTTGCTGCCCAGAGGGTAAGCAGGGTCCAGTAGCTTAGGAGCTGGGGCCAGAGATTGTTTGGAGTTCAGAACAGAATTTCTTTTTCCTTTGAAAATGAGGGAAAGTGCAGTCAGAGCCCTAAGGTGCTCTGGCAGATTGCCTGGCCGTTGACTTCCTGATCCCAGGCTGGAACCCTGCTGCATTAGATGCTTTAGCTGAGCAGGAGCTGCTGCTATCAGCTCTAAGGACACTAGGCTTTAGCAGTCCCCATTCTATTTAGGAGCCAAACAAGAGGGCCTGACGGCCCTTTTTGGGTCTTGCCTCTTGTTAAGAAGCTCATGTGGTTGGGTTTTAAACTGAAAGTGTGACAGCTTGCCTGCTGCAAGATGTACACTCTGCTGCAACCCCATCCCACGTGACCCTGAGAAACAGCTTCCAGCTCCCGTCCAAATACAGACCCTCATGCAACGGTGCAAACTCTGCTGAAGCAGCTCTTGCAGGGCATCTGTGACCCTTTGATTTGCGTGGGGCTTCCCTGGAGGAGCATCTTTGCTCTTTGGTGGTAGCACCAAGGATGCATCCCCCACACAGGCCCTTAGGGGACCCTACTGCTGGGACACAGTTGCTGACAGAGTGTCTGCGTTGCACTTTCAGTTCTGCATGCACTAAAATAGAAGTGCTTGCTTCCCTTCTGTGGGCTGTGCACTGATACTGGCACCGCCTTCCTGCCTGTGCAGAAGCAGCACACAGGCCCTTGAATTAGTGGGTCATCTCGTCAGCTCCCTTCCTTGCTTGTACTGCTGGGAGTGTGCCTGGGCCCGTGCGATGATTTGGGAGCAAACGTCACCTGCGCTGGAGCACAGTGGTGGGGAAGCAGAGCTGTTTCTGCCTTGGCATCAGGGCACCTGCATGGGCACACCATAGCAGTCAGACGAGCAGCAGGGGAGTGGGCACATGGGACCCCCAGGTGCTGCCCCGCAGGAGGCTGTGTCTCAGTGCTGGCTTGTGCTGCACTGGAGGGCAGGGCTGCCAGGAGTAACTGCTTTCTTCTGCACCCTGTCCAGTGCACAGCCCAGCTGGGACCCAGGGTCATGCCAGGAGCTCCAGGGAAGCCCCTCCTGCATTGCCTGGCTCTGTTCATCTGTGTTCATGTCGGCTCAGGGTGGGGGCCCTGGGCTCTGTTGCTGGCTCTGGGCAGGGAAGGGCTTGGTATGATTGCAGGACAGCCAAGCTGTGTAGGGCTGGGGTGGGCCCCTCGGGGAGGGCAGTGGGGCCCGGTGATGTGGGGATGGGGGGCAGTGGTTGCAAGGTGCTGATGTGGGAAGAGGGGGCTGGGGCTGATCTGCTCTCCCTTGTCAGGGAAACGGCCCCAGTGATGCTGGTGCGGCGGCACGGCGTGGCAGAGAGGGCAGCGGGCAGGCGCCGACCCTGGAGATGGCCGTGAACTCCATCTACTACTCGAGAGACGAAGGTGGGACCTGCCACTGCCCTGACTTCGGGCCACCTTCTGTGGGGCCTGTCCTGCTGCTGCCCCATCACCGGGGCTCCGGTGGGCAGGGCGAGGTCTTGCCTGGAGCTGGGGACGTGGCTTCCTCCGCCCTCTCCTGAGCATCCCTGTCCCCACAGTGAATGCCTTCTGGGTGACGGTGCAACGGACTGAGGCCGCGGAGCGATGCGAGCTGCACGGTGCCTACGTGCTCAAGGCTGAGCGTGACAGCCTCGTCCTGAAGGACCCACGGACAAATGAGATCCTCTATGTCTGGCCCTACCGGCTGCTCCGGAGATACGGCCGGGACAAGGTGAGGGATGGGGGGGGGCCCTGCGTGCCATGTGCTGAGGCCTGTTCCCCCGCAGGCTTTCCCTGGCCAAAGGGTAAGGAGCTGATGTGCCTGACGAGCCTGTGGAAGCTGTGCAGCAGGTCCTGCCAAGTGCCCAAACTGCTAGAGCCCTCCGCAACCGCAGGCGGGTCCCCAGGGGCATTTGTGATCCTGTCTGTCCTCAGCTCCTACCTGTGTCACCGCACGGGAGTGTGGGCTAGCAGGACACCCGTCCCCACCGAAGGCATGGCTGTTCAGAGCCCCTCTCTGTGTGGTCCTTGCCCCACTCCCACTGGGGCCATTGCAGCCCCTGTCGGCCCCTCTGCTGGATATCCCTTCAGCTGGCTTGCTCCTGTTCTCCATCCCAGCACTCCCCAGCCCATGCTGTGGGCAGGCATGTCCTTCTGTGCTCCGCACAAGCTCTCCCTAGCCTCTGGGGACCTTGGCTCCCTGCAGTCCTGGCTCTGCCCTGGATTCAGTTCATCCCTCCCGAAGGATGATGGCCAGAGCAGGAGGGGCTGTTTGAGACGCCAGTTACTCTAGATTTGTTCACCTTACGGGGCATACTGCTCTTAGCCTGGCTGACCTGCGTAGGTCTGTCCCCTCCCCAGTGTCCTCCAGCAGTGGTTCCCTGACCTGTCTTGCCACTACCCTGAGCGCAAGAGGTATCTGCCGGGCTGGATGGGGAGGAAGTGATCTCCCCAGGGCTGTTTGTAGAAGTGATGGTGTTGGCTGCAGTCTGCTGATGGCGCCTTCTGTGGCACTTTACCAAAACAGAAGTGGAAACTGAGCTGCTCTTGGGGAGGCATCTGGTTTGTCCACAAGGTCTCTGCCAGGGGTGTGAGGAGCAGGCAGCTGCACCCGCAGGTCCCCGAGCAGTGATAGGTTGGCTGTGCTTGTGTTTGGCAGCATTGACCCACAAAAGGAAGTCTGGCCCCAGAGGCTTTTGCAGCAACCCCAGAGACAGCTGCTGCATGTGAGAGAGCACCACTGAGGCAGAAAATCTCACCTGGATTCAGGGACGGAGGTTCAGGAAGGGTGTGGGCATCTGCTGGTGGGAACCTGCGCATGAGTGTGTTCAGGCCTGAGGAACACAGCCTTGGTGCGAGACTTCTCTTTAAAGTGCTTTATACCATTAACAGAGTAATGCTGATAAGGCAAAGGCTTTGCTTACTATTGGTAGCCAAGCTGCTGCTTCTGGCTTTTTTCCTGTGGAAAGCCATGTTCCTCTATCTTGTATCTCTCGCCCCTGGATTGCTTCCTTTCTGCCTGACTAATGCTGACTTACCCAAGATGCCCATAATAGTTTCCCCTGCTGAACTGTCACTCATCTTCTTGCCCTACTCTGTTCTCAGTGCTAACCACATGTTATTTCCTAGACTATCTGGTGCCAGTTGCTGGCCGTGCTGGAATTGCTCAGGTAAGGCAGCAGGTCTCCAGCAGGACCTGCAGGTCTCCAGCAGGACCTGCAGCTCTGGCTCTGAGGGATCTCGCAGTGATGTCCCCTCAAGTGTGCATCCCACTCCAATTTCACAGCTTGTTCTGGGCTGCTGGGCAGTGCAGCACAGCATGGCCCTGGGGTGGTGCTCGCTGAGCTGCAGCCCTTGCTGGGGGGAGTGGAAGGAACAGGATGTTGAGTGAAGTCTCTTGCAGGCTGTGCAGTATCAGCACCGCAGCCACACACCCTTCAGCAGGAAGCACAGCCTGCACGATGTGCTGGGTTGGCAGGTGCTGGGCAGGATGTGACCCTTCCACTTCCCCTGCAGGTGATGTTCTCCTTTGAAGCTGGCAGGCGCTGTGACTCTGGCCCAGGGAACTTCACCTTTGAGACCAAGCAGGGCAACGAGATTTTCCGCCTGGTGGAAGCCTCTATCCAGGAGCAGAAAGCGCAGGTGGAGGAGAACCGGCAAAGCTGTGGCTCACTGGATTCGGATAGCCCCAGCGTGGTGCTGATCCGCCAGGCCCTGGCCGACTCCCTGAGCCTGGAGCTGCCTGCAGAGGGGGATGACACCCTGGCACCCAAAGCGGTGCTGGTGCCCAGGCCCAGTGTGGCGGCAGAGGAGAGAGATGCCACGTCTCTGCTGAAGACCCGGACTCTGCCAGAGCTCCCTGTGCCACAGGCCAAGCCTGTGGTCCCAAGCACACCCCCGCTGCCGAAGGTGCCCTGTGCCGTGTTGCCGGCTGAGGACCCATCCAGCGTGTACTCGGAGCCCCTGGACTCGGTGAAGGGCTTCCGGCCCTGGCTGGACCCTCTGTACTCGGACCCCATAGACAGCAAGCCCGTGAGCGGGGCCAAGGCGCCCAGCGGTGCCTCGGATGAGACGAAGCCCCGACTGCCGGCGCCGCTGTACTTGTGCACGTACGAACAGGTCCGGGCTGATGGATGCAGCCAGGCCCCCGCAGTGCCTGGGCGGAGGGAGCACATCTATGATGAGCCTGAGGGTCGTGCTCCCCGCTCGCTGCCGCCCCCCCCTTACATCTACGATGAAGCGCGGCCCACAGGCGATGCCTGGCGCACGCAGGGCCACGATGGCAGGGGCGGCTACGAGTATCCCTACAACCCCAGCACTGATGACTACTCGGTACCTGCCTTCCAGGCCAAGGCCAAGGGCCCCAAGCCGGTGCCTGCCCCCAAGCCCCAGACGGCCTTTATCCCTAAAGGTGCCGAGAGGAGTGGGGATCCTGGCAGGCGGCGGGGGAACGCTGCTCCTGAGAAGGCAGTCGTCAAACCCAGCCTCAACAGCAGCAACAACAACAATGTGGAGGTGCTGTACAGCCAGGTGGTGAAGCCCCAGCATGTGCAGAAGAAGGAGCAGTCTGTGGATGAGTGCAGCTTGTCGCCTGTCTGTGAGGACTTAGGAGAGATATAGCATGGTGCTGCTGCTCTGTACCTGCCCGGGAGGGACTGGGGGGCCCAGGCCTGTTCGTGAGCAGTGCCAGCTGCTGTCCCCCACAGGTCCTGGGGGTGGCTTGGGGCCAGGGCAGAGCCCCACTTGCTCGCCAATGCTGAGGGGCTGCGTTTCCCTGGAGGCCCTTTCCACAGCAAGAGCAAGAGACCTGTGGCTGGTGCAGGTGCCAGCGTGCTTTTCTGGCTCTGGAGCTGGCTCCGCTGCCACCTCCTGATCCGCAGGAGGGCTGGCTGTGTTGCCATGTGCCTGCTGCTCTGGCTCTGCTCTGTCTTCCTCTCTGACCAGGCTGCAGGGCTTCGCTGCCCATTGCAGTGCATGGAAGACTGCTTGCTATCAGTCTCCAAAAGTATTTTTATACGAAGTTATTTTAATATTAAAATCTGTATGTCTCAGAATGAAACATTTGCCTGTGGCATGTCTGGGCTGTCAGGCATACAGCTGGGGAGATGCTGGCACAGTGCTGCAGAGCAGGGTGGCCTGGTTGAGCAGTATTCGCATGGTGGCATGTTCGTGTCTTGTGCCAGAGCTACTGAGCTAAGAGGAAACCGCAAAGAAAAGCGTGTGCAAGGTTCAGCTATGGCTAGGATGCCCTGATGCCAGGGGATTAAGGGTTGGTTATGAGAATCAGGCTCACAGATACCTTTATGTCCTGATTGGGGCACAAAATGTTGTGATAACCTCTGAGTGTAAGGCTGGGCAGGGCCATGCTCCAGCTCTGCTGCAGCTCAGTGATGGTCGATTAGTCACAGGATCTCTCCTCCCCCAGCCTGATCCCGCTGCTGATTTCCCCTTGCTCCCAGCTGCTCTTGAAAGGCCTGGGATGGCTCAGTCTGGATCCCACTGACTTTAATGGCAAAAACTCTGATCCCTGCTGTGTGGTCTGAGGCCAGGGGTTTGGCTGTGATTGCTGTGTGGCCAGCCTTGGGCAGAAATCTATGCAGGAGCAAAACAGGTTGTCCTTTTGGTGCTGGTAATGGTTTTGAGAGATTTTATGTCCCTCCTGTGTGGGGCTAGACCAGGCACCCTGGCATTGGCTGTTCCTGAGTCTGGATGGGGCTGCTCATGACTTCTGCAGGTTTACCAGCCTGCTGATACAGACAGCAGCAAAACAGCCAGGTGACAAGCAGCACTATGATGTACCTGTGCAGAGGACTAAGCCTGACTTCTGCAGCCCCAGCTCAGACCCAGGGAGCCACAAACCGTTGGGGAAGTCTGGAGGATCAGGTTCAGGTCCCCAGACTGGTGACAAGGTGGTGAGCTTTGACTGGGCATTTGTCTGATGCCCAAGTTGCAGGGGGAGAGCCTCAGTCCTGTAACAGTACAGCACAGCTGTAGCCATGACCAATTTGTAGCTGTTCTCCTGTGCTGGGTCCTCTTCCCCACTGGGGTTTTGCTGTGGGAGAAGGGAAAAAGCCTAAGGGGCTTCGGGAATCTGAGGGAGGCTGAGGCGGTTCCTGCCTGGGATGAGAGACACGAGCAGCAGGCATCTGCTTCTCATGGTTGGCTGCTGGGTGGTCCCGTGCTTGTGTTCCTGTCCATGGCAGGCCCATGTATGCATCCCAAGAGCAGTTCTGCCCACCTGCTCCAGAGGAGAGCTCTGGGCATTGCTTAGCAGGGGGCCCAGGCCACCTGCCCATAATCCTTGCTCGTCACTCCAGTGTGAGGCTCTAAGACTTAAATGATGAAGAGCAGCCTCCCAGGAGCAGAGCCCCCAGGATCTCCCTTCTGTATGGCCATGGGTGTGTGCGCATCTCCATCACTGCAGTCACTGTATCTCAGTGCACTATGTCCAGTCTGTCCTGCGGAGCTGAGTGTGGCGGACACGCAAAGTGGCTGACCCAGCTTTCACTAAAGTGGGTGACGGTGAGGAAGGAAAATGCTCCAGCATCTGTGCCAGATCAGTGGTCCCTGCATAGCCCTGCACTCCTCTTGGCTGAGAGGAAAGGATATTTATTTTTCTTGCTTCAGCAATGACATCATCTCTCGTAACAGCTGACTTGGGACTAAGACATAAGTGCGCAAGACAGGAGGAATGCTCCTACGTGTGGCCTGCTTTATTTATGCACCCTGCCACGTGATGGAGAAGTGCGTGCAGTGGGGAAGGCTCGTAGTCTCTACTGATCAGGAGAGATGGTCCATTCTGTTCTGGCTCAGTGTGGTGGACCAGACCTGTCGCCTTGCTCAGACTGCTGCTCTGTGCTTCACCTTACCTCCTTTCTGGCAGCAGTTCAGGGTGTAATAGATGCTTTGGGAAAGCATAAGAAATAAGGTAAATGCAGAGTAAGCCTTTGACTCGTCACAGCCTTCCTGTTGCCAAAGCAAAAGTCTGCAATGAACCCGGACTTCAGGACCAGGAGATGATCTTTCTGCCTAGATTAGGATTTCTTCTGTCTGCCTTTGTAGAATCCTAGAATGGTTTGGGTTGGAAGGGACCTTAAAGATCACCTAGTTCCAACCCCCCTGCCACGGGCAGGGACACCTTCCACTAGACCAGGTTGCTCAAAGCCCCATCCAACCTGGCCTTGAACACTTCCAGGAATGGGGCATCCCCAATCTCTCCGGGCAACCCGGTCTAGTGCCTCACCGCCCTCACAGTGAAGAATTTCTTCCTTATATCTAATCTAAATCTACTCTCTTTCAGTTTAAAGCCATTACCCCTTGTCCTACCACTACTTGCCCTTGTAAAAAGTCCCTCTCCAGCTTTCCTGTAGGCCCCCTTTAGGTACTGGCAGGCTGCTGTAAGGTGTCCCTGGAGCCTTCTCTTCTCCAGGCTGAAAAAACCCGACTCTCTCAGCCTGTTGTCATAGGAGAGGTGCTCCAGCCCCCTGATCATCTTCGTGGCCCTCCTTCTTTCCCTTTCCTTTGCCTCACTTCCACTGTCTCCTTACAACTAATTTCCATGTGTTGAACAGTGAAGCACCTGGGTGCAGCTCAAACACAGCCATGGCACATCACAGTGGTCATGTGCCGTGGCTGAATTCAGTCTGTGTACTTGGAAAATGGCATCCTAGCAGCCGGTCCTGAACAAGGCTTTGCTGAGGTGCTTGGGGATAGGTGGCTTATGCTTGGCTGCTCACTCTGCCCATTTATCACAGTGCAGAAATGGTCCTGGACGAGCATCTGTCTATGCTTTCTGCCCAGTCCAGGTGCTGTGGGCCAGACAGGGTAGTGCATGGGAAGTCCTTTGGATATCAGGCTTCCTCATGGGAGGACAGCCTGGGTGCCTCCTGTTCTCTGCTAAAAGCATGTGCCCCAGATTAGCTGAGAAATATCAGAGTACCAGTCTAGCAGCCACAGCTGGGATGCAACAGATGTAGAAGCCTTGGCCTCTGTAGGCCAGGTGGCAGTTTTTACCAGGAGAAAATTACTTGGGAGCTGCTTCAAAGCCCAATGAATCTCTTCCCCTTGGGGCTACTTTTTTCTGTTTCCTGTTCTGAAAGATATGTCCTTTTGTAACTGCTACCTCCTCCCCGTTAGGGCCTAGTGTGGTGCAGGCATGAGACAACTGTTCTGCCAGGATATCTGTTTTCATGCTGGCATTAGGGAAAGCACCCAAGTTTCCTCTGGCTGGCAAGAGTTGGTCAGAGCAATAGCACAGTTGTTGCCCTGCTTCACACTGTGGTGATCCGGTGGAGGGCTTTTCACCAGGGATCCCCAAACAGCCCCAATTTTATGATTTGCTTCCTCTTATGCCCCCTTTTCCCTCTTCCCAAGTTTCCCCTTTAGCAGCTTCCTTGTATCAGCAATAAATCACAAGCCCCTGTTTGTTAACCCCTTTCCGTTGTCAAAGTGTTTTGTTGACTTTGTACCCCAGTTTGGTATTTATGATATGGTTGCCAAAGTAATTTCCACCTGCATCATCAGTTCAGTCAAGCTAATCCCCTGTCATCCCATTTGTGTGTGCCTTACTGCCCTTTGCTACTGCTGCTTCCCCAGTTCCTCATGCTGTGAGCTTGTTAGAGACAAGCAGGGGTTAGCCACCAGCTTGCACACACTAACAAACCTGTATCCCTGTGCCTGCAGGGGTGTCTGCCCTGTCCTCAAGGTACGTGCCCTTGACATCTTGCCCCAAACAGCTGCCTGAGATGCAGCCTTCTGCCAGGCATGGAGTGCTCCCAGGGCATGGGAAGGGTAGGTCCATGCCCTGCGTGGCTAGCAGAGCCTTTTACTGAGCTGGGATCCGAGGGAAAAGAGATGGCTCTGATGGCTCTGCTCTCCTGCTGTAGCACTGCTCTGAAGAGCACGGAGTTCACATCATGCCCTTGGTCAACTGCAGCTGTTTCTCAGGAAGTACAGGTCAGTGCTGGGATTGCTGCATACAGTGCACATTATAAACTACAGGCAGTAAGTGGATGTTATGGTGGATAACTTTATTTTTAAACAGCTTGTCAGAACAAAGTAAGTAGAACACAAATCCCTGCTGGTGCTTGGCATCCAGGAGGCCCAATAAGACCACCCTACCTTGGCTCAGTCAAGCTGCCCTCAGCTCCTGCACAGCCAGGGGCAGCTGTCCTATGTCTGCACTGAAAAACAAGCTAGTATCTGTGCAAGCACTGGGCAGAAGCTCTCTGGAAAGTTCCAAGCCACCTCCCCCCATCTTCTGAACCCTGCCAAAAAGTACTTGCCGTGTTGGCTTGCAGAACAGCCCCATAGGCACAGGCGGGCCATAAGGAGGAGAGCATCCAAGCAGCAGTTGGCTCGGAGAACGGTGCTGTGCTGCAGCTTCTCCAGCTACAGTGAGCTGTCACTGTGTAGGAGTTGGGCAGTGGGACCAGTTACGGAAGCAAGCAAATCAGCATCATCCTGGGTAGTGCTGCTCTCAGGAGGGCAGCATTCTGGGCTTTAAGATTAAATTCAAAAGCCCTGTTTTATGTCTATTCAAACATCCTGCTGAACCTGCTCCTGCAGGATGAGGGCAGCTTCATGTTACTGCCTACTTTATCTAGCTGCTTGCAGCTTTTCTGCACCCACTGACAGCAATCTGTGGTTTGTGGCCTGTACTAGCCTAGTCTCAGAAACCAAAATGTGAGGCATCTGGTGATGTGTGAGACAAGAATGGGAGATACGGGGTGTTGTGGGGAATAGCTGAATCTCTGGACAGAGGGTCCCAGAGTAGCAGGCTTCCTGCAGACTAACTTGGTGACTAACAAACCCATAAAACAACGAGGAACAAACAATGGGAAGTGCCCATCTGACCAAGGCCAAGCTTAGCGTCTTGCCTGACCGCTTCCGGACCAGTGTGTAAAGCTTGGCAGCCAAGCCATGACTGCACATGAGCAGGCTCAAGCAATGTCCTGGGCTTCACTGCAGGAACTCGTCATACTCTTTGGGCAGCAGGGAGCGCTCACAGGAATCTTTCCTCATTGCTGCTGGTCTGAACACTTGGACTGGAGAAGGAGCCATCAGAAGGGGTGCCACTGTGGCTTTGGCTCTGCTCTGTTGCTACAATACAGGGACAAAATATGAATGCATCTTGTGGAAGGAGGCACCGGCTTGTCCAACAGCACACTGTCCAACTGTGTCTGCATGGGCCAGCTGTTCAGCATCCCTCTCCTCGACTGCATGAGCTTATGCTATGCCTATCCCTCGGCTCTGCCAGCTGCAAGTGAATGTTGCCCCTGCCATATGCTGCCTTCCCTGTACTGCTAGGGTATCAGGGAGCTGCCCTCAGCCCTTCTGTGGGAAGCAGACCAGAAGGGCAGAACAGAGACTATCTAGGCTAGTCAAAGGCAAGAGACATACCTGCTTGGGTTGATGCCGCTCTGGTCGCTGGTCCCTGGGCTGGGCCTGCTGCCTGTGCAGAGGTTTGTACAACATACTCTTCAGATACTTGTAGAGGTTGCTTTTTAGGTGCAAGGGGTTATAAGCAACTTCCACTTCCAAGCTGTTCAGGGCACTCTGCTCAGAGAGAAGAAAGAACCTAGTGGCTATGACATGTGACAGGTAGAGGCTGTGGGGTTTGATTGGGGTTTTTTGTGGGTTTTAGTGTTGAGGGCTTTTTTTGCAGAGATGAGTGTTACAGACCCTCCATGATACCTTGCAGTGATGGGAGAAGGGATCTTTGGTTGTGCTGCTACCCACAAGGACCACTCTTAGCAGTGTATAGAGCAAGAGGCATCTGCAGCCAGGTCTAAAATGGATTTAAGCATCGCCTTGCAGGATGCACTCCTATCCTCCCCCATGCCCAGAATCAGCCAACAAGCTGGAGCACCCTTTCTGGGCCCCATCACCCTCAACTCTCTGCTTCATAAGGCCTCTTCCTCCTCCCCCCAACAGACATGCAACATTGTTCCAAAGGACAGCCATTTGCTGTGCATGAAAAAAGCTGTAGGATATATTGGCTCCTGGGAAGAAGTTTTGGAGTGCTCCATCATATTCCAGCTGTCACTAGACATCTTCACAGCTGTTTCCTCCTCTATTCATCTGCTAAGACCTATAGTGAGGGCTTTGCCCTTCCTGGCATCACCTGAAGCAGAGGCAGACAACTGAGAAGAACATATGGATGCACAGCAGGAAATCAGAAGCCTGTATCTATTGGAAGAAACAGAGACACTTTATGTACTGATTTATCTTACACCTAAAGCACCTCTCTCTGCAGTCTGGGGAGATCCATGTTCCCCAGCAATGAGGGAGATAGATATATCTTCAGCAGCAGCTGCATGTCCTGTGCATAAAGACTGATCATTAGCCTGATCCTTGCTTGTACAACTGGGATCCTTTCCACAGATTTGTGCAGGGCTGTCAATGACTTACCTCTATAGGGCCATGCACTCTCTCAGGATGTTCAGCAAGGAGGGCTGGGAAGGTTGACGGCAGCAAGAGCTCTCTGATGGCAACTGCTTTGACAAGTAGAGTGGCGGAGTCAGAAGGGACAATGATGTAGTAGGAATGCATCATAATGTTCCAGTTTTGACTAGTGTTGTGTGGCTCACGTTTGGCCAAAAGCATCCACTTCCTTTTCTAAATAGCAAAAGCCAAAACCAATGTGAACAACGGGCAATAGCCACTTCCTTCAGCACTTTTCACTGTAGCGGCTGCAGAGTTCAGGAGCAGAGACATTCATACACATTAGAATAAGAACACTATTCTGCATTATGGTTGAGGATAGTATGTTGTTTGTTTAGGGGTTTTTTAGTTGAATGTAAGACAATTCTTAAGAAAAACATTCAATTTTGCTTTACAACTTGCCAGTAGTGGAAAGTCCTTCACATCCCAAGCCTTGGTTAATTATTTTCACAGTTAAAGATGCACATCTAACTCCAACCCTGACTTTTGGACTTCATACCTCCAAACACTGGATTTCTGATGAGCTAGAGAATCTTCTCTAAGGTTTGATGTGCTGTAGTGTCTTTCCGGTGGATGCATTGCCTGGAAGGATTTACAAGACCAACTCTGGCCCATGAGATGAAGCTGCAGCTTTTGAAACATGTTTTCTGGTGCAGGCTAGACAGATCTTACCAGATGTGCACTAACTATCCCTTTCTATGGCAATGCCTCCCCATGATACTGCAATTTTCACACACTCACCAGAAGACTATGACATAGAGCATGGAAGCTGTGCTGGTTTATCTCCAGTTCATCCCAGTCTAGCTGCCAGCAGCTTGTGGGCTTGATGATGAAGGGCAGGCCATACACTACAGACTCACAGACCCCTTCAGACTTCAGAGCCCTGTAAATACACAGCTCATGTTAGTGAAGCACAGCCAACATGAAACCAGCAAGAAGACTCTACCGGGAGATGACTAGCTCAAGCGGCTATGGCAGTTATCAGCTGCAATACTGCTACAAGCATTTAACGTCTATATTGCTGTGGCCTGTCACTATGAAACTTTGCAGAAAAGCCCAGTTGCAGTGAAGAGACTTTCTTGCTCATTTCCAGATTCCCTTGTATCTGCATTGACAAGAGCATGCCAAGAAGCAAATCCAATCTTCATGCATTTTGTATACAAACCAGATTGTTAATCTGGCCTCTTGGGCAATAACTCACCCAGGCAATTACATGTCTTCCTAAGTGATTTTTACTGGATCATTATCCTTCACTTAAACTGACATGTGCTCTACTCCTGCACAGAGCCAACATCCCACCACAAACACCACTACAGACTTTACAGTGCTTGCCATTGCCTGTCCATAGCACACTTCTGCTTCACGACAGGGCATTATTAAGTAGCTTCAGTGCTTTGGCTCTGGGCCATCTATGCACAGTTACTGAGTGCTCTTCAGCTACTGACAGGATGAGAATAATTTTAAGAACAACTGTACAGGTCAGACATTACACAATTTTTTTCCTATAAATAAACTTCAGAAAAGACACTAGAGAGCATCACTCTTCTTGTTATGCTTGGTGCTTACCAGCCACAGACTGCTGATGGGAAAGCAAAGAACATGAAGTCACACAGCACTGTGAGGCTTTGCTTGCTTTTTTATTACTAGTTAACTAGTTAGCTCAGGCTCTGACATCCAATTAATTGCTGTGGCCTCATTAGGTAGTGAGAGAACAGCAGAATTATATATGGAGCAATGGCTGCAATCTACAGAACTTCACACTGGAGGGAAACAACTGTTGCATGAATAACATCAATGGTGTTACAGTCATAAAGTGCTAGTGTCATGGTTAACACCGTTTTTGACTCTGCACTCCTGTCTGCATGTGTGGGATGTACTGTTCCATAACACTAAGAGTTATGGGGGTTGAGGGTATCTTACATCAGAATTTTGCTCACTAGCACTTTGAGTCTCCCAGCTCAAGTCCGCCACCATCACCAGTATGGTGATGCTACTAGGACTTAGTTGAAATTGCACAGAAAGAGTGAAGGCTGCTATTATGCCAGCCTTTCAGTTACCAAGCGCAAAGCACATAACAACACTTACTTTACAACCTGGAGTTTATACAGCACTGTAGCTGGCCAGGCTGCCATCTGGCAGGGTGAATTCAAATCTGCTGCTCTCATGGTGCCATCAACCATCCCAGAAAGTAGAGCTGGGTCGAGCAATCTCTCCTGCAAATCGCACTTCAGGCACACTAGGAGAAGGAGATTGGTTTAGATTGCTGGAAATGGCAATGTTTAGCACATGACATGCTCAAAACACTCACAATCACTAAGTTAATGTTTTCTAGCAACAACAACTATTAAGGGAAGAATAATACTGAAGCCTGTGACACAGGGCAACAATCTATGCCCATTTTACACACAAGGGGAAATACCACATGCTCGGCATGTTCATGAAACAATGCTTGGTTGGTAACCAGGCAGGCAAGTTCCAGTTTTAGCAATGAGTGGCCAGTTGTAGTGGGAGCAGAAGCTTGTTTCCCAATGCCACACTGGGTTCAGGGCCACAGATTTCCTGCCAGCTTTTCAGTCTGTGTGGAGAAACCCAGCATACTGATGACACTAACTCTGGTATAATATGATTATATAGCTGCATACAATTTCTCTGGCCTTCTACAGATTTCTTGAGTGCAGGAAGGTGAAAAAACCTGCCTGCAGTGTAACTTGGTTTGTCTTGCTAGCTATAATAAGACAATGCCTCAAGTATGAAATTCAATGTTACGATGAAGGAAAATCCACCTTTAACAAAGTATCATAATTGCCTGTGCTGGTATGGAGGCTGTTATGGTAGCTACTACAGAAATAAAAAGTCACACCAGGCTTTCTGATCTGCTTGCTGTGGAGCATATCTGCAAAAGCCACCAGCAACTCTCTATGAGCTTTGCTTCCAGTCTGGAACTGGCCTGTGGATCACCCGAAGAAAACAAGTGTGCTTCTGCTGTGATGGCGATGGGAAGCTGCACATGAGTACCATGTTGGAGTGGCATATAGTACCATATTGGAGAGGCATGGAAAGGGGATTGCTGTAACTGCATGAGCAGATTCCCATGGCAGTGCAATGGTGACAATACAGTGAACAACTTATGGGAAACACCTACGTCTGCTGTAGCTGTTGGCGTTTTCAGTGCTCACCCCAAGGATCAATTAGGGGTTTGGACTTAGACTAGTAAAGGAAAAAAAAATTACAGATTCCTTATAAATTTTCCCATGCATTATTATAACTGTTGGCAGCTCCAGCTAGAACATTAGCTATTTTAGGGCTAAATCAATAGATATAAATACAGGCCAAGTCCCTTTGTAAGACAGCCTTTATTTAAGTGCAGCTCTGGCACAGACTTTCAGTATCAAACACAAGGAACACAATTTTTAGTGCTATACAACTGAGCCAGAAGGTCCTTGGCTCTCAGCAGGTAAGGGCCCTTTTACCTTGACTAAGTGGCTATAAATACACATATTCTTCAAGGCACATTTATGCTGCAGAATGGAAATGAATTACAGCATCAACAGCCATAGGACATGGCAGCAACCTAGAAGTATCCTAAGCAAATGGCCCCTCTCAGCCTGAGACCACAGAAACTCCAGACAGCTTTCAAAGTCACCCGGAGATGTTACTTGGGTCTCTAAATGTGAGGGAACATGCTCATAGAACAGGCCTGGGTAATCTTTAAGGCTGTGGGATTTAGGAGCTCCCTGCAGATGGGGGAGAGAAAATGAAATACTTAGGGTGGTCTTGGGTGCAGTGGCGTGACTGAAGCCTCCTGATGGAAGGAGGAGATGGAGGTGTTCTCTCTCTGTGCCATAGTCATGTAGCCATGTTTTAAACAGCATCTCCAAGCTGATGACATTGTCCTCTATGGTTTGCACATCAATGTCCATTCCCAGGATTGCAATGTCTGCAGGAAAAAATGGTGAAAAAGCACAAATATTTTCAACCATAGAAAAGAACATTCTTTTGCATTTTCCACTACACTATACCTCCTTAATCCCTCAAGTGCTTTCACATAAGACATATAAACAAGTGACATGTCTCACTGAAAGCTTGAGCCAAGTGTCACAGCTGCCACCTCCCTAATGGCTAAACCTCCAGCTTGTTGTCTGTGGCTTCCCCAGTGCAAGTGTCTGTCTTGAATAAAACATTCAGCAGCATATTCAACACTATAGGTATTTTTTTTCTTGCATAAATAGAAACTTCCAGCCTTGACCAGCTATTTAACAAGCCCAGTTCAACAAGGCTGTTTCTGTGTTATCTGACATTTGCCAAAGACAACTGCTTCATAGAGACAGGGAACAACTGCACAAAAGTGCCCCAAACCCTGTTTTTATCTCACGTTCATTAATTAAAATTTTTCTTATGTCCTTAAATTTCACTTCCAAAATTCCTTAGAGTGTTGAGGCAGGAGGAGGGAGAAAAGCTAAGTATTTAATTCCAACAGCTATATCTCAATATAGGTTTGTTACTCACAAAAATGGTCTGCAGATGTACAGGATTTCTTTAAAGACAAAAAGAGATGATAGACCCTATAGCAACAGAGTTGCAAGTTAAGTGAAAAACAGGCTCACTTTTTCTTTTCTCAGGGTAGTGTAAGCCCAGACCAGTTTCCTGATATCGAACAGTTTTGATGAAGGAATGGAATGGAGGGGAGGGATTTAGGACTGTCTCTTTCAGTAACAATGGCTTATACAGTACATGAAATTACAACTTTAGTTGTTCCTGGAAATTTTGGCAACTTCTTTCTTTCCAGTATGCCCTGAATACCAAGTCATAATTGTTAACCATGTCTTAGAGCTTCCAAACATCCTTTTATCAAAAAAAAAAAAAAAAAAGAAAAATCAAACTTGCATTTATTCCAGTTATCTCATAAACATAGAAGGTCACAGAAGATCTAAACATAGACATGATTTATAAACATAGTTCCCAGCTCCTTAATTCTTAATTTAACTGTTTTCCTGTGGTATGGCTTTTATATATAGGTATATATGTCCAATAATCTCAGTTTTGTCATCAAAGGCTTAAAACAACTGTGTTACAAGCATCAGAGAGCATGGGATTGGTTTTCCCTATCACACCATGATAGTAGTTCTCAAGCAATATAACATCTGTTGCTATATTTGCTGAAACAATTTTGTCAGCTGTTGCCAGTTTCTTCAGTGAAGCAGATTGTCTAGTAAATGTTTTCAGTTCATGTAGCAAGCTGTTACGATACTTCCATTTTGAAAGCAAGATTTTGTGATGCTTTTCAAAATGTCATTTAAGAGAAGTATGCTGTGCTATTAAAATGTAGTAAAGGCAAAGGTTTATTTCCTATTCAATCATTCCATGTTTCAGCATCAGCCATTCTTGGAAATCCCACATCCTGCATGGGATTTCCAGTAAGTTTATTCTATTTTTTCCACCTTTTCCTAATATATTTAGTCTGTGTCATTTTGAAGGTCACTAAATTAATAGTTTGGTTTAAATACACATATGATGTTCACCACTACCTAACTCATACTGTAAACATTTTTGCAAACTGGGCTTAAAATTTCACTTTTGTGTCACCTTAAATAGTGTAACCACACATAATGAAAGAGATTATTGGCTCGTTTTTGAGGTTTGGAGAGGATAAAACTCAGCACTACTGTTGCATGCAAAAGAACTGCCTGACTGCACTAATGTTATTCTTGAGTATTTACCTGTTACTTCCTTTCAAGGGGTCTGCCAGTAAGAAAACTTGGGTCCTTGGGTGAAAAAAAAATAATCTAGTAGTAATCAAGAGCTACAGCTCTTCATTGTTAGTCAGTCCACATTTCTATTGCTTCCAAACTTGGCACTCGTGCTAATGGGTGGCTGTTGCTGGTCTATAACAGACTTCTCCACCTTATTTCTTTACCTCAAAACTCGATGTCTTTCTAAAGGTTCTTGATTCTCCAGAAACTGTGGGCTTGATTCAGAAATCTAATAAAACTGTACCCCCATGTTATGAAGGGAACAAAATTAGGTCATAGTCTTGAAGTTTGTCAGTATTTAAAAGACAAAACAAAAAATCCCTTACTCCAGTTGTGTAATGGCCAAGAGTTATCTCCCAAAGGAAATATGACATGCAGTCTGTTAAAAGAAAAGATTAATGCATCCAAGCTAACCGGGAAAGAAAGATGAAACACCAAACAGACCACCCTGGTCTATTCTACCAAGGTCCAGGTCAGTCATTACAGACAGATGGTGGATGTATTTATGAAAGATGGGTGAAGCTAGGAAAACAACATGTTCCTGTTGTCCTTCTTGAAATCAGGAGTTGTGGATATTAAGTCAGGAGAGAAACAAAACCTTGATTTTAAGTATGTTTTATCAAAAAGTTCTGGAGAAGCAGAATGTTGGGCTTAGGGAAGAACATGTAAGGATTACTGCAGTGAATGCCAGAAGTCAAATATGGAGGCACTCAGACCCTTCATGCCCAAGAAACATCCATACAAGAGAAAGGGGAGAGATGCCAGTAACAGCTGCCTCCTACCACCCCCCCTGCCTGACAGGAAGGCTGTTTTGAAAGTAATACCCAGAATGATTGGATAAAAAAAATCAGTGTGTGGTCTGGTCAAAAGGTGCATTGGACAGGAGAGCCTCCTGATTTGGGGACCAGATTTAAACCATGCCTTTTGAAAATTTGGAACAGTGAGATGAAGGAACTTTGAGGAAGTTTGGCTAGCGGGACACAGCTAACGGATCCTTAGAAAGCAGACATGAGGTCCAGCAGCTGGAACAGCAGAAAGAGACAGAAGCCTACAATGGTACAAAGACTTTTCATGAAACCCAGTCAGAAAATATTTCCACTCTCATTGGTACATATGGAGGCTCTTAACTGTTAAGACTTCAAAATGAGGATGATCAGGCCAACCAAGAAGAGAGCTCAAACTCTAGCAATCTAACATTAAAGCCCTAGAGCATGTCAGAAGAGATTTTGAGAGCAATTTACCAAAGCCTTACAAATAGGTTAATTTTTTTCAGGCTAATCAGATTCACAACATTTTAAGATCTCTGAGCTCTGTAGTAGAGCTATATAAAACAATAACAGAAAAAAATAAATTGGAAACTGTTGTTTGTTTCCAATAAGCTGAGATGAAGAGAACACAAAATGAATTTCTCAGGCAGAGGATTTAAAAAGAGATGATTTTTTGATGTGCTACAAATATAAATGTGGGATGCAATATCACAGCAACGGTCTGGATATTAAACATGTAAGTAGGTTCAAACAGCCACTAAACAAACTAATGGAAGAAATATCCATGGTGGGATGAACCTTATAATTAAGCAAGTGCTACATCACAATATTTGTTTTGTAGTGGGGAATGGGCTGCAGTTGAACACAGCACTAATTCTTGCACTTCCTACATGCTAGATCTTGCAACTTCAATGTTCTTTACTGTAATTTTTTTCTAATACATTTTTTTTTCCAGAAACAGAGGAAAGGAGCTCCAACAGGTAAAAAAAACCTCTTCATAAATCAGCTGGGCTCCTTTTTCAAATTATTTGGACTGTCCATTCCCCAGTGCTCCTCTTAGAGAGCAAATACATCATCTGAGTCTTCTCGTAAGTAGAAGACTCAGAAAATTAGAATTTCATCATCTGAAATTTCAGTGACCTTTGTGTCCCCATTTATGTTTTCATTCCATTTATTGGGTGAAAGGGCTACACAACTTCATTTTTTAAAACAATATGGTGGGCTTTTGCATGCTCTAAAGCAGTCTTGTGACTGAGAGGCACACAGCATCTCCTATTCTGTGGTGTCTAGTTTTCCAAGGCTTTCTCGCAGGGTTCTGTGCAGCACCAGCTTGATGCAAAGTCCTGACAATAATCCTCCTCACTTGAGAAGCCAGCATTTGCAGCCACCCAAAATACTGCCCTCTTCCCATATGGTCATGTTTCTGCTGGTGCCTTGCCCTAGTATCCAGGATATGGTAAGGGGTTTCAGAGTCTCTTGATGTAATAGATTAGTCTTGAAGGCAGTGTGATTTCTTTCTGGTGCTTTTAAAGAATACCTCAGCCTTGGAGCTGTAAGCAACAGTTCCTTCCGCAATTTTGTAACTTCCGGTTTTGGTGTGGTTTTCGCATGTTAAATTAATTCTAAAGTCATGTCAGAGTGACAAAACCTTGATCCTCTTCCTTAGGACTCACCATTAATGTTAGTGGTAATGGTGGTGGTCAGAAAGAGAAGGTGCTCCCTTTCTCCGGCCAAGCAGTTTTACCTGTAGGGATGAGCACTCTCCCTGAGGCCTCTGTTTTCAAACAGGCAGAGTCCAGAATAACCAGCTATGTCTCGTTGAGGGAGACTGCCCCTTCAGGGCAGGAAGCTTTTAATAGGTAGTAAGAGGGCTGATATATCTCTAAGTGCTTGATTATACAACTCAGTGTTTGATTTGGTCTGCCACCAGATTAGTGGGATGCAGAAGCAGCAGTGAGAGCAGCCATCATCTGCAGCAAGATGCACCTAGTCAGATGCACCTAGTCGGTGCTGTGCTGAAGATGGGGAAAACCAGCGCAAACTCCTGCTATTTAGCAGTCATTTTATTAACCTATAGAAAGAGCTGAAATAAATGAGCAGATTCAAAAGTTTGGTAAAACGAAATACAGAAATGAAAGTTGCAGTTATAGCAGCATTGCAATGTACAGGCTTCTACCACTGAACTGCTGTGGTACTGGACTTTTGATCACCACCTGGCTGGTTTATTTAGAGTCTGCTCAGCACCTTTTGCTTTGAAACAAAAAGGTTCAAAACAGGAGCTAACAGGAATCTCTGTTTCTGAATTTCTCATTACTATAGCTTAAATTCTCACTGCTGAAAACTGTTAGATTAAGGGAAGAGTTCTTCAGAGATAGGGCCAGGAAAAATAACATTCAGAGTCTGGGGTGTACTTGCTCTTTCACTAATGAAGCATGTGGCAGGTGTACGAGGGACAGGGCAAAAGGGAGTCTGCAATCTACCTAAACATTCCAAGCCCCTACTCTGCCAATTGACCAGAAATTTGCAACTGCAACCAGAAAAGAAGAACAGCTAGAGACAGGTAAGGCAACAGCATCCAATGTTGCCTGTCACTCAGTAAAAACAATATTGTCATTACTAGTAACAAATCTGACACCAACTTTGCAAGGCATCAGGACTCAGGTTTTTAAGCTTGTTATCAACTTGTGAGAACTTGCTGTGTGAACCAGAGATTGGTACCAGGTGTGTCTTGTTGATGGGGAGTTTAAGTGTCAGCAGTAAAGGCCTCTAAAATGGAGACCTGGATTGGAAAGCAGAGGCTGCAGGGCTACAAAGAACTGATTGAGGTGCAATTACTGGTTACTGAAGAAATATAACTTTAAGAGCTCAAGAAAAACTGCCCTAAGCATAAAGGAAAGCAGCAGTTATGCAAGAGCAGAATCAGTGGCAAAAAACAGGGTAAGTACCTGACTTGGTCTGGGAAAGAAACTCTTCCTGGCATTGTGCAATATGTAGTCTGGGGGAAAGGACTAAAGGCTAAGAATTGTCTAGAAACCAAACATCTTGTAAAAGGACAAGATCTTGAGTTGGTGAGGGGGAGGAGGGGATTATCTCTGTAGGATCATTGAAACTGTAAATGGCCTGCCTGCTTCTTCTTCCCTCCCTCCCTTCTGCCTCTCTGCTTGCTTTTCTCTTCCCCCAACTACCTGCTTCAAGGATTCTGGTTGCCTCTACATGCACCAAGGACCTTTTGATCAGCCAGTCAATTGCCCAGGGTGATGTTCAGCAGTATGAGTATATGTGTGTCTGAGAGTGTGTTAACCCCATAAACTCTACGCATTTTTCTTTTTAATCCCTCAATAAAGCTGTATTGCACATGAAGCCAATTTTAGGTAATATCAAGAGATGCAGTAATGCATGAAGCCTACATGCTAATTTGGCCCAAATGTGATAAAGCCCCAGAGAAGTGCTGTGGTACAAACTTTTTGCTGCTCCTCTGGGCACAGCAGTTTCCACTTACACGAGTGACACTAAATGGCACAAAGGAAAGTGGCATGTATCAGACCAAAGCAAGAACTAGTGGTTGTCCTGCTGTCCAAAGCCATAACTTCCCCGAGTACCCTGTCTGTCTTGTGCTCACCATTGCTGCTGGGCTCTTCTGCTGGCATGTGCTGTTCTACATCCTCAGGCTCCAGAAAGTCTCTCTTCAAAATTTCAATTACTTGTATTCTTCGCAGACTCACAAGGTCTACATCTTTTAACTTCTTTTCCAGCTGCTTTACCATTTCTTTGCTGGACTGGCTAGTCAAAATTGTGATCTGAAACACAAATCAGAGTGTGCAAGAGCTGCCTCTACCCTTGTCCTCTCTTGATAGGTGGTAATACCTGGTCTGTTTGAATAGCACAGGTCCCACTATGGAGAGAGGAGAGAAATCTCGCTAAAATATCTCATCTATTCAAAAGCAGATTTAAAAGCATTTTTTTCTTGAGCTTTGGCTTATATTTAAGCCAATATGAAATGGATTGAGAGGTTCATTGTAGGAACACCAACAGGTTTTGTGCTACTGCTGGAATAAAATGAAACAGTCCACAACTGTCTTGTATTCTGTGCTTTGCACTTACAGTAAGCAAGTCTGTGTGTATAGGAGGGACTCTGGACTCTGCCTGAGACTTTCTGAGGGACAGCACCACTTCCCGTTACTGCATCAGTTATAGTTCAAGTAGACTAAAGTTGGCCTTCTTACTTGAAGGCTGAATGGGATTTTTTTTTTTTTAAAGAAGTATATAGTCTATTCTGAAGATGTTTCTTAAGGGAGCAACAGTAGGTGTGATTCCCATCTCCCAGTTTTGATGTAATACTAAGTGACTGCAAAGGGTTTCTTCATCATTGACAATCAGCAACAGTTTCTAGAAACATCAGGCATGTTTGACACCAGCTTCTACCCTGAAAGAGTAGTTAGGTGAGAAAGTTTTGAGTTCTGACCTTGCCTGATATTTAGTGATGGTGAAGTAATGACTCTTCTCAGCACATCTGCTCATTGCTCCAAATGACTATTTAATAACCCTAAAGAAAGGATAAGGCGTATTTTAGGTAGGGCTGCTAACAAATGTCCTGTAGGGAGCATTTGGGGAAACAACAGTAGACCCTCACAAATGAGTTCTACTACAAAGATATTAAACAATGCCCACAGAAGTGACAGTTCAAGGGTTAGGGTTTGTTTTTTGGTTTGGGGTTGTTTTTTGGGGGGGGGGGGGGGGGGGGGGGGGGGGGGAGACACTTTTCTCCCCCATACTAACCCTTTT